CGGCGGGAGAGGGGAGGTGGGCGGCGGGAGAGGGGAGCCGGGTCCGAACTCTGCAGCCGCAGCAGGCCTTGGCGTACAACCGCTGTGCCCCAGTACCGGGAACGCGTCTGCCCTCGGGGACTGCCCTGGTTGTCGCCGCTCAGCTGTGCTGCCAGGCGCGTGTGGCTGTGTGGGCAGGTCTCCCGAGAGGGAGGATCAGCAGCTTCTGATCTCCAGGAAGCTTTTTCCTGTGATCCTGCCATGAACAAGGCCCATGTCCTTTTCATTTGGAAACCGCTATTGATGTTGTGTTTGTGCTGCTTTTCCTGGTTGGCCCAAGCTCATCTTCAAACTTTTGGGGAGATCCCTGCTCTTTCTGCCTCAGTGGTGTAGTGTGTCTCTGATCCGTGTGAACCTGCTGAGGCCTGTTTTTCAGGTGTGTGATGAACCAGAAGAGCTGAAAAGAAAGGTGGCTGAGCTGGCAGCAGCTGTGCGGAGCGCAAGGCACCTTGTCATCTACACAGGCGCTGGGATCAGCACGGTGGGTTTGGGGGCAGCAGCTGGAGCCCGTTCAAGGGGCGGTGTTGTGTGGACTGTTTTCTGGTTCCTGAATGGCCACAGGACATGTGTGATGAGCCAGGGATGCTGTGTGAGTCCTGCAGCCAGCACAGTTTCCAGGCTGTATCCTGAGGCCATTTCTTCTGCACAGAAGATCCTGCAGCTGCATTGCTTCTGACCACGTGCAAGATGCACAGCCTAAGCAAGAGGACACTGGTCTTGCCTCACTCAAGTCTCTTCAATGACTTGGTGTAAAACCTCAAGCCAGTTAGCTCAGGAATGTTATATGTGTTATCAGACATGCAGAGACAGCTGGGGATTATTGGGATTTATAAATAGCAGTTTGAGAATTGTTTTGTTGCAGCAGCCTGGGGCAAAGCAGCAGTCTGGTTCCACTCTATTCTCTGCTGAAATAGAGCATGAGTCAGGGCAGGGGGCTGAGTGCTCATGTCACCTGCATGTTTGCTAGAGATGCTGAGTGTGAGGTGCCAGAAACAGAGTCTAGGGAAAATAAGAAGAGGCTCAAGAATGGAGTTCTGTGTAGGGAAATGGGAAGTGCCAAGGATGAAAAAGAGTTCTGGAGGGATTCCATAATGGTAAAATTGGAGAAAGCTAACACTAGAGGTGAAAATGAGAGCTGAAACATAGAAGAGAGGGAGAAAACATATAAGGAGGTTTTTCCTGTGTTTAGGGAACAGTTATCCTGGAAAACTCAGAGTGAATGAAAAAGCAGCCATGGGTGGAGGTGTCTTTGGTTGTCCTGGGTGGGCCTGGCTTGGTTGTGTGTGTGTGCAAGAGCTGTGACAACCCCACCCCCGTCAGGCCTGGTTTTCTCTCCTGGTGACAGGCGGCTTCGATCCCAGACTACAGAGGCCCCAACGGCATTTGGACACTGCTGCAGAAGGGCAGGAGCATCAGGTGAGGAGCCAAATTCTGAACTGTGTGACAGCTGATACTGGAAGAGGTTAATGGCAATTCCAACTTCTTTTTTCCCCCTTTGCTTCTTGTCAGGGCTGCAGACCTGAGTGAGGCAGAGCCCACACTCACTCATATGAGCATTGCCTGTCTGCACAAGCACAACCTGGTAAGATATTTTTTCCTCACCTCAGTCATGTAACTCTGCCTAAGAATGATAAACCCAGCAGGGAAGAGAATATTGCCTGACTATGTTTTTGGCTCAAGTGCCTGCATATCCATGTCGGAAAATGTGTCCAAGCCTTACTCAGTGAGCTGCAGGCTGCAGCTCTGGCAGGTTTTCTCCTGGTGCCTTTTCTTTAACATGTATTTGTACCTGGTGAAGCTGGTCTGGGGAACTGGCCACAAATCAGCCAGCCCTAGAAATGTTCTGTTTAGCAGGAGGAGGCTTTCCATTTAGCTTTCACAAAGGTCTATTCACCATGGGGGTCCAGGTGTGTTCCCTTGTGGGTCCTGCTCTGATGTACAGGCTGTTGGTGCGATTTGGGACGTGCACATCACCTGCTTGGAGGGATACCTCTGTAGTCTGTAGGAGCTCAGTGTTTTGTTCCCTTCAAGGTGCAGCATGTGGTGTCTCAGAACTGTGATGGGCTGCACCTGCGGAGCGGGTTACCCCGAGCTGCAATATCTGAGCTTCATGGGAACATGTACATAGAGGTGAGTGGCCAGAGCAGGAAAAAGTCAGCGTTAAGTGGCCTCACAGAAAGAGAATGTAAGCTCTTGATCTGCCACTAGCTCAGAAGGGATTAGTACAAGAGCTTGGCCTGTGTGCAACTCCTGTCTTCAGACCATCAGGTTTGGGGTGAACTACTTAGAAAGTACCAAACCCAGCTCTGTAGCTCTTCCTCTGTACATGCTGGAGCCTTTTGCTTCTGACATCTCTTCCTCAACCCTTCTCTGAAATCCCTCCCAGCATGTAGCCAAAGGCTCCACTTGCTGGCTTTCAAAAAAAAAACCCACAAAGTTTTCCAAGTTAGCATCTGATCCCTGTGCTTCTGTCTACAGCTTCTGTATTGTCCCCAAAAATGCTTTTCTTCCAAGAGAAGAGGCTTATTCCTGGCCTTTCATGGGTGGGGTGCTGATGATGTGTGGGGTTTCTGCTTTTGTCCTGCACCAGGTCTGCACTTCCTGTACACCCAACAGAGAGTATGTGCGAGTGTTTGATGTGACGGAGCGCACAGCCCTGCACAGGCATCACACGGGCAGGATGTGCCACAAGTGTGGGGCACAGTTGAGAGATACAATCGTCCACTTTGGGGAGAAGGGGACATTGAGACAGCCCCTGAACTGGGAAGCAGCAACAGAAGCTGCAAGCAAAGCAGATGTGATTCTTTGTCTGGGTTCCAGCTTAAAGGTAACTTTAGAGACTCGGTGAAGATTGTTAGCAGCATTCCCTCTTGGTGATACACCTTGGTGCTGAGCAGTCTCCTCCCAAACAGACAACTGTAAACTCTGGTGTCAGGATTCGCCCAGCATCTGTGATAGTCTCTCTTCCTCCCTCTTTCCCCTCCTGGTAATACATTCCTTTTCCTCTCGCTGATACGGTTCACAGCTGCGTGTGCCTGTGGCTGTGCTGATCCTCTGTGCTTTGTGGCAGGTTTTGAAAAAATACCCGCGGCTCTGGTGCATGAGCAAGCCCCCCACACGCCGGCCCAAGCTGTATATTGTGAACCTGCAGGTGAGATAAAGCCCTCGGTACTGGGTTGGCCTGGTGTGAGCCAAGGGGCTGCGGATGTGTGGGGCCGAGCCGCTGGCAGGCCCCGGGCAGGAGCCCGCGGGGAGCTGCCTGCAGCCGGCTCTGCTGTCGCCCGCAGTGGACTCCGAAGGATGATCTGGCCGCCCTGAAGCTGCACGGCCGCTGCGACGACGTGATGCGGCTGCTGATGGCGGAGCTGGGGCTGGAAATTCCGCGCTACGACCGGTGAGCGGCCCGGGCCCTGCGCGCCTGGAGCCCCCGGCCGGGGCCGCTTCCAGCACCCACTGCCGCCCTCTCCTTCCTTCCGCAGGGCGCGGGACCCCATCTTCGCGCTGGCCGAGCCGCTGCGCCCCGGCGAGGAGGGC